TAATAAGGGAAGGCTCTTAATGGTTGATTTTGAATTAAATTCAATTTGCTCATCAAGAGGACGTTCAGGTTGGGCACGTGGCAACGAAAGGTAGAATCTTCTTTCGTAATTTATCGTTCTGTTGTAAAGCCGACTGGTGATAAGGAAATTTAACCTCAGAGGTGCTTACCTGGCCCACAAGGAAGACCATGTCGCAAAACTGCTTCGCTTCCAGTAAGCGACCAAAATCGTCTCTGAGCGTGCACCGAGGATAACTAGCCAACTGAAGAGAGATGGAACCAGCAAATTTACCTCAACAAGAATTAAAGACCTAGAGACAAAAGAATAAAAATGTGGGAATTTACCTGAAATCTGTAGAGCTCGCTACTTCGCACATTGTTATCCACGGTTCCGCCAAATATGTACATTTCGTTATTAATAACATCTGCATCATGGAAAAGTCGTCCAATTGGAATCTACGACACAAAGGGTAATATAAATTCACCAGTTGGCTTCAAATAGGCCATTTTACAGTTATGGATGGAAGCGAGGCTGAGGGTGACCTTGTTTTGATACAAACCCTCTCTGCTTTGTTATGGAAATTCTTCTTGAAAAATACTAGTTAGCATAAAAAACAACTTCATTTACATAATAAAGCAGAAAGGTTTGTATCAAAACAAGGTCACCCTCAGCCTCGCTTCCATCCACAGCTGTAAAATGGACTATTGCGTGCGGGCAAATGCGACTGAAGATTCTACTGGCTTCCACATAAAGAAAGAAAGAGATCACTCGTTAACGCCACTTGGCGATTCTTCTAACTGAAGTTTAATTTACCAAATGTGTTTGAGCTATTCTTGGAGATGGAACAATGATGTGAAGATTAACTATAGCATGATCACTTATTCCAAAACACCTTTGACCTGCTGTTTCTTGTATTTTAGATGTGCCGCGGTACCTGTGACAGACTGATATTTGTATATAGTAATGCATGCGCAATGAAGTGCATTGCGGCATAACATGCAGATGGAAGTGGTTAAGTGGTTAAGTTCTCTATCTTTAGTCCGACTTATTCTCCTTGCATTTAAGAGCATTTTTAGGACTACCCTAAGCGAACTCTGAAGGTCATATCACTAACTAGCAAATCGTTTACTATCGATAATCATCGGATCGCACAAGCAAACATCTTATTTCATTTGTTACCTCACTTTCTCCCGCTGGCTGCACGATCTCCCATGTCTTTTCGTCAAGAGAAAATCTTTTAATACAAAGAACAGATAACACTCCATTACGCTAACATACGCATGCGCGATTATCCAGGACCCTACCGTTTCAGTAACATTAAAGTATTCTGAATACTGTGAATGTCATTCCCCCTCCGGCAGGGATATTGGATTATCGCAAGGCCTTACCAAAATACCCATTACAAGTACTCGGGCGGGGGAAAGCTAAGTCATCATTTGAAACACATTTGTAGGACTTAGTTATGCCATTTCCTTCTTTATGTAGTGATAAAACCAAACCATGGAGGTGCTTTAGACCCAAAGAACCATATAAAGTTATTTTGTTCTTGTTCGTTTTCGGCGGAAAGAATTGATATGCGGGAATTGTGCTGGAAACAAACAGAAAAGTTCGCAAATGAAGAAAAACAGGATTGACAAACTGAGTTTTTATTGAGCCGGTGAAAAATAAAATAAATTGCTCAAAACGGAAGCTAATATCAGGGGGGATGAAGAAAGAATGGGGCGTTGGTGCCCCCATACCTGTATAGATCGGAGGGTAAAGTGTTGTCAGCTACTCCTCCAAACACATAAAGGTACCTATCATACGCTACCATGCTGTGACCGTAACGCCGCTGAGGTGGTGCAGGCGCACCACGTAACAAATGGGCTGATGGGATACGAGTCCACCTGTAACAGAGGAATATAAAGAACACAATTCATGCATTAGCTATGTTGGTAGTTTGTAGACGGAAATCAAAGTAGGTAAGAGCTTGCTTTTTCAACAAAAATTTAAAAAGGTGCACAAGAACTTGGACGTTGCTGTAGCTTGAAACACCTTGGGACTACTGCTACTCCCGCAGGGTTGATCCCTCATGTCCGATCCACAACCTACTACAACACATGTAAAATGGAAAGAAAATTCAGGAGGCAAAATCATGGGAAAAACAGCCGAGGTTTCCAGTTTCATCGCCTGTCATGTTAAAGCAAATTTGATAAAATTTAAAATACGTAATTCTATCTGTGTAACCCTGCAATTTCTGCTGTCTGTTTTCTGCAGAATCGTTTCATTCGACTTACCTCTGATCCAAAAAATTGAACTCAAACATGTCATTGGTAATCTTAGTTCCACTTTGACCCGAAAACACAAACATGCTGTCCTTGACAACAGCAACAGGAAAGTTGCAGCAAGTGGGTGGTCTATCTCCAGATTGTTGTACCTACAATCAAAATACAAATGCAACGTTTGTTCCTGTTCCTGAATTTTAATTAAGCGATAGACCACAATTTATATAAGTTTAACTTTATCCTAGACCCGTGTAGGATGTTGGCATAACATAACACGTACTTTTCAATCAACTTTTATCAGCTAACCTGCGTAGCAGCGCAGGTTTTTTGTGGGCGAAGGGAGAAATTTCAAGGACGCGCGCGCAGGGGAAAAGAGGTCTACTCTTCCCTTCGCGTGTTACCCTCGCGCGCTCTTTAAGAACTTACCAACAATACTAACCGGCGTCTGCCACCAGGGCTATCTTTTAGCTGAATCGTTACGCCACTACTATCCGTCACATCCTCAGAACCTATTCTTATTCCAATTCTGGTGAGTGCAAAAAATTTCACTCTAAAGCAATGTCTGCGGCAATAATCTCCTTTCAATTCCACCCAATCTGCTACATCGCACACTTCGGATTCTTGAATTTGGGTTAATACACCACTAAAATTTATAAAAACCCAAAACCTTATAAGTACGTCTTAAAAAGTAATTATAATCCAAAGCCGGTTTGTTTTTATATAATTTTTCAAGTCGGTTAAATTCATTTCTTAAAAGACGCTTGCCCATTCTTAAGTGCACTAGTCCATCTAGGGTTAATTCCAGCTCGTTAATTCCTCGGCAATGCGCGCATGAACACAAACTAACTGATGCGAGAGAAGAGTCTCTTGAACAAATCCAATGCGTTGAAGGACAAATATGCCTGACTAACACTTCATTCAGGGAATGCCTATAAGTCAGAAACATCAAACGATCTTTGACTATAGCGGTGGCGCCAAGTAAGCACGTCTTAGTTCATAGTTATATTGTAGTACGGGCTTATTGTTATATAATCTTTCAAGTTTTCTAAATTCATCTCTTGAAAGATATTGTGGTTTGCCCATTCTTTTATGCACCAAACCGTCAATCGTTTTCACTAACACATTAATACGTCTACAATGAATGCATACTGCTGGTTGTCTAATCAGTCGAAAACGCCGAAACGAAGGGCTTCTTTCTGGTGAAATCCAATCACTTGAAGAACAAACTGGTCTTTGTACGAGAACAGTAAGACATTTCCTATAACAAATTGATACGTTTATAAAGATTGATTGGTGGCAGAAACATCTCCGCTTGTTTTCCGGGGAAAGGAACAGCTTTCAGCGCTAATTCTTGAAGTGTTTCCATCTTGGCGTAACGTAAGAGCAGCAACGCGTGTATTCACTCAAAGACTGAATGCTAACTGACTATGAAACGTGCTCTCTTATGCCCAGCCTACACAATAGGTGTACGTAAAGGCGTGGTGGATGAAAGACTGAATGTGGAGCAAATTAACATAGGACGCGCTCCGAGCGGTGGATCAAACAATTTCAACTTGCGCGAATTTACATACGATTGTTTAAAAGTTCTCAACGGTTTTATTCACATTATCGCAAACATGGCTAAAGAAGCAATTCTTGAAACCAGCTCTGATTTCTACGCTGTTCCCGCCGAAACGGAGTCCGCGATCCTGACCTTATGGAGTGCCAATCACATTAACAAATACAACCAATGTGAAATGTATACACATTCCAAGTCCCAGTTTACCCGGGATTTTAAGTTAACCAAGGCGTTACTTCATTTGACAGAGCTCACGTTTCAGGATAGCTCAGATTACGAAATCGTCAAAGAAGGATTCAACTATCGTCATGGCGAGTTTTATCTTTACAAGTTTAATGTGGATCGGATCATCGGATACTCGATCGAAGCTGGACAGTTTACCAAACACATTGGTATTTTTTATACCTATAGACCTTGCGACGGTGATCAGTTTAATATCGTCACCGCGCGCAGGTAAGTCTAAGTTATATAGATTCTAAGGTTGCTTGTTCAAAACCCGCGAACCCCGAACAACGTTTTACATCGTTTTTAGTCATGGTGCATGCGCACTGCGCACCTTCAAGGACACTTTATCTGTCCCTCAACTTTTCATTTTCAAACTCAACCACAAATATAATCTCCCTTTGCATCTTATTATCTATAACAATGATTCCGTCGATGTTTTGCCGATCACGTCACGATGTATCTCCGATCAAGTCACGAAATTTCCCATCCGATCACGTCACGATGTATCTCCGATCAAGTCACGAAGTGTCCCGACAAAATATGTCCGAAGTCACGACGTATTCCGGACAACTTACGAAATGTCCGACCTCATTAGAATAAGAATAGGTTCTGAAGGTGCGACGGATAGTAGTTACGCCTTAGTATCTCATCCAAAGGCCAACAGTTTAAACCAGTTTAAAAACTAACAAAATTGAACCAGACTAAACTAAACCCGGCCAGCAACAGCAGAAAACTGAACACTCATGCACTTTAAGAACACCAGACTGATCCTAAAATAACAATTATACACACAAATACCTCTTGCCACCGTGGGTTGGGGTCTGTCAAACAAATGGTCCAAAGATCATCCAGTCTATGGGTAATGCATGAAATAAGAAGTTACTTTTTGCTTCTATTCAGGTTTAATGTGGTTTGTCACAATGAAATGTTTATGCGCCATCTATCTTTTACGAGATCAATTAACTACGCTACCTTTTGTTCCCATCATAGCCAGCAAATATCCACAAGTTGTTCTTGTAAACTGCTGCTCCATGGGCGGATCGTGCAGGCGGCAATCTACAATGGTGTCAATTGGCTATCAGTCAAATGGAAAAGGAGGATTCAGGTCCATAAAACTCCACTCCACTTCCATAAAGCTACAGAAGACTGTATAACTTATCACATCAACAAGAAAAATACTCCGGCCTGGTATGAACCCCTCCCTGCTCACAAAGGCATATAACCCATAGGCGCGGCGCGGTGCAGCTTCGTTCCTTTACAAAAACCGCTCCAAAATCACAGTTCTATGTGTGAAAAAAAGCCCTATCTGAACCGGTTTTCATGCCGGTGCAAGAGTTATCCTTATAATGTACGCTTAGCCCAACTTAGTCCACCAATGAAAGAAACAAGGAGAAATACAAGGTGCAGTGGCCCAAAGTACCAAACGATTTTAACTTATGTGCTAAATACCTTGACACTCAAATAAAGTGGGGTTTTTTTATATGGAAATAATTTTTCATTCTCATGCAAATAAAACTCATTTTCACAAGAAAGGTTGTGCACTTGGCCTCAATTTGAAAGTGAGGGTTTTGGAACTCAGAAGTGGACTATTATTACAACATTTTGACATCTTCCATGATCTACAACTGAATAGACATTTTATACAAAGAAATGTAACCTGTTCGATTAAATTAATAGAGCATAGCAAACTGCTCTTCATTCCAAAAAGTATATTTATGTCATGAACAATATCAACCTATTTATACTTAAAATTCTACTCTGTGTTTATCAAAGGTTAGTACCTTCCTTCTATACGCCACTCTGTCCACTGACCAGTGTTGAACTTGTATTCAAACAAGTCATTCTTGTTTTGAAGGTTGGAGTTGGAGTAAAGATCACCTAAGTGGCAACAGTTAAATTAATGCAGTATCAAATGAAGGAAATAGTCTAAGGGCAGCAGTACATAATGTACACTATAACCGTTTATGGTCGTCACTGTTTGCTTTATAAGGAAAGGTCTAACCATTTGTAAGCCAAAACATCTTGGTCAATTCTGGTTCCAGTATAGTTGAACCCATGACCTCCCTCTCTGTGATTAACAGCTCTACCTCTACCGACTGAGAGGTCTGGCCTGCCACATAAATAACACACTACATTGTATGTTCTGTTCAGGGTTTACTCATCTCCACCTTTCATATGATTGTGGCAGTTTTAAATTGAACACCTTTAAACCATTCACATTTTCCAGAAAACCACCAATTTAATAATTTGATAACACTGCATTTTTTGCAGAGAACACAAACAACACTAAGATGTAACAAAACGTCTGAATTATTTGTTAAACCATTCTTTTTTATGTTAACAGAAACCATGTAAGGAACTTAAAAGTGTGAAAAATAATATCAAATTGATAAGTAAGGCTTTAGGGTTAACTTGTACCTGTAAATCCACCAAACACTAACATATTGGGTCCAAAAATAACGGCAGAATGGTGATAACGGGGAGCAGGGGGAGCACCTTTTGTAACCGCTCTGCAAATATAAAAAATAGTAAGTTAAACGTGAGTGATAAACCTGTTTATCAGTACTAAATATAAGTGACAGAAGTTCAGTGCCAAACCCGTCTAAAGTAATTATTATTACTTTGAGCTGTTGCAAAGTATACCTCCTCATCATGCAATTCCAGGTAGCACTTAAACAAAATTGCTTTTCCCAAGCCCTCATTCCTGGGGTTATATTGTATTGTAGTGGTCAAGGCAATAAAGACCCACAGGACCCCATTAAGAGAGTTGTTGTGTATTCAAATAATAATGACTACCAGGTTGCTTTAACTTCCTTCAACTTTAGCGACCTTCCATGGGCAGTTACTGGTTGTATACTCTAACCACTGAGCTAAGAAGGGGTGACTGATATGGCAAGCAGGTCACAAGCTTGAGAGATAGTCACAGGACCTACCTGCTCCATGAATTGTCTTTGATGTCAAATCTCAACATGTCATTCAACATCCTCTTTCTGTAATAATAATTGTTTTATTAATAAATAAATCAAAATTATTCATAAAAATATTGATTATTAGACAAATTAATAGTAAATCACTTCAGGCCAACGACAGTCACCTTCCAATGAGAAAGGACAAGTACATGAACCACACCACAAGGGTCTACAATCATCCATTACTCTTTCTGAACAACATGTTTTACAAATGGATTCTTTTACATCACCTTTGTGTGATGAGGAACCCAAGAATGAATCTGCAATGGCTGAATGTCCGTGAATAATGACACAATTAACTTTACTAACAGGCAGTCTTAAGTCATAGCTGGCATGATCTTACTGCTCAGTCCCGAGTTATTCAAAAGGTGGATAATGCTACCCACCAGATAAATCTCTATCCACTGGATAGCGCAAAATGGTTTCCCTTGTCTACTTAATGGTGATTTATCTGACGGATAGCACTTAATCCAGGAGCTAGATCATGGCTAGTGGTCCTGCAAGGGTTTGAAACCATGACCTCCCAATCAACACACCAGCACTCTTGCAACTGCAGAATTAAAAGGGTGTGGTTAGTTAGTTCAGTTGAAACAGCACTAAGTCTTATAAAAATCACTTTCTGAAGTACAAACCACAGTACATACCCATTATCTCCACCAAATACATACAAAGCATCATTCCAGGCTACAAGTGTATGCTTGCTGCGCCTGTTAAACATGGGCATATAATAATCAATAATCAACAAGGTTAACTGAATGTACATTTTAGAACTCCAAAGAGACTGAGACTGCCTCAAAGATTTCTAGGGCTGTTTGGGTAATCACCTGTCCATGCTTAGAGACCATTACATTGCATGCACAGTAGCCATGTACCCAAACAGGTAAAGCAAAGGGCCCGGTTCTGTGAATTAAGGCCACGCTAAGTGATTCCTGCTCAGATATGAAATTCTTCCTTTTAATTCATGAGCATTTACAAGATAAATATTGGAAGGAGAATCAAGCAGTTTATCCCTGCCAGTGACCGTTTCAAAAAACTAGCTCCCATACAGGTGTTTTAGAGGAGTCATGTGACCTCATTTTAGTGGAGTGGAGGACTTACATGAGCATCTCCCTAAAAATGTCTGCATGGAAGATGAAAAGAAAAAATTGCCCTGAAGTTAAGGTACATGATGTGCAAATCGGATTTTCATTTTTTGATGGTAGATTGGAAGGCTGACCAGGTCATAAGTGTTGACTCATTGTCTTTATATTACTGGTAACTAGCAAAATGGCTAGCAGCATTAACAACAGTACATGCCTGGCTATCTAACTACCTAAGTGGTGAAAACGGTAGTACAGTGAAACCCTGCTCTACAGACACTCACTTAATATGTACACCTGTATATAACATACAGTTATGTTTGTCCTGATGGGAAAAAAAAGCTCATATATTTTCTCAAACACCCAGTTAATAAGGACACTATGGCATGTCCCTTCGGTGTCCGTATTAACCGGGTTCCACTGTACTACTTTTTTGTGACTTAGCATTTTCTTTGCTTTATTCCCAACTTCCCATACCCTGCGAAAACATCCGTTTCTCCTCGCTCTTCATAGATGGGGACGTTTCACGAGGAGGAACATCTGCGACTCAGCGACAGAAATTCCATACTGATGATGCAAACAAACCAATGTTTACATCCAGTAGTCATGGGGGTTCCAAATACAAAATAATTTGTCCAATTTTGGGTGTCTTCTGGTCGATTTTGGTAAAGTGTTGTGTTCATCTGCCAACGAGCTCCAGGAAAACTCAAATGCTTCTTCTAGAGAAGACTATTTTCCACGAATATTGACCATTCTGTTAGGGATTCTTCGCCTTTACATTTGACCTTTGTGACCTTTTGTCTTTTGTCTGTCATTCGTAAACAATAGCTAAAACAATATAACTACTCCCTTGACCAATCAGCGCTTCTGACCGGATTCCGGACAGATTTTACGTCATCAGTATGGAATTTCTGTCGTTGAGTCGCAGATGTTCCTCCGCGCGAAACATCCTCATTGATGAAGAGCGAGGAGAAACGGATGTTTTCGCAGGCTAAACTTCCCAGTGAAGTTGGAAATGCTAAACAGGGGAGCTTTTGCTTTTGCATGATTGGGTGACTGACTGACCTTGACAGAATGGCTCTGATTGGCTGACTATCCAGCTCCCTGATAAAACTTATTTCGTTACAATTGGCATAAGAGAATACTTGCCAATCCTGTTGAATCAGCAAATTGAAACAATCTGCAAGTGTTTCTTACCTAGCTCCCACAAACTCATCACATTCGGGCATTCCTTTCCATCTGTTGACTGTTACACACCGTCCAAAGTCCAGCGACAGTGTGTCAATAGCCTCTACGTTCCCGTCTATTTCGAACGGCCGGCAATGAACATTACCATTTCCGGTAGCCATCTTGAAATCCTCAAGGATAATCGCTTTCCACTCTGGGATCTAAACCGTGTCCTTAGAGTATGCTTATCTCCATTTTGACCTACTTCTCAGTATTCAAGTAGCTGCATCATACTTTAAGTTCTAAAAAATGACACAAACAACTTTCAAAAAAGCGTCCTATAGCCCAAACAATCGATAAACGCGTACACTAAAAACTGAAATAGAGCCCTAGTCGTCACTCGTGACTCTCAAAGAATTGTAAAAGGTGAAACAATAAGCTTTCACCTTTGCATAGTATGAAGATTTTTTTTTCGCCTGAAAGCGGTGAAGGTTGCGGTCTAGCCGATCAACAAACATTTGTGACAAATTTGTTGATTTCCTTTTGGAAGAGTGTCACGTGACGAGATATGAAAGCGCGGGAAGGACCTGGCAACAAATTTAAATTAATTCATTCCGCCATTTTGGTTTTTCTTGCTTGCAAGATGTCGAAACGTAAAGTACAATTTGCAGAAAAAGAATGCGAAGAAATCCAGGAGGCATCTTCCATGCCGCGAATTAAGCTCCATTCTTTAGATAGTGATGACGAAGAGGACAAAGATGATGAAAATACCGACGAAAAGTATGTCTTACAAGAGGAAGATTTAGAAGGGCAAGAGGAAGCAACGATCGACTACGATGAAGGAATCAAAATAACGCCTTTCAACTTAAAGGAAGAAATGGAGACAGGGCATTTTGACGCTGAGGGAAATTATTTCGAGAAAAAAGAAGAAGTGATTCGAGACGAATGGTTGGATTCGCTGGACTGGGTGAGAATTAAGCAGCAGGGAGAGCAAGTTACAAAGAATCTGGACAATGAGGATGATAGCAACTTCGAAGACGCCGAAGAACCAGGTGACGAAATAAACGCCATGAAAGACATTCTAGGCATCATTTTACCCGGAGAGACAGTTCTGAAAGCACTCAGGCGACTCGGTGGGAAAGAAAGCGGTCGGGGTAAAAGCTCCTCTGCAAGTGCACGTTGGCAGACAAAAACAAAGAAACAAAAGGTTTCGGATGAGAGCCGCGAAAGTTCAACATCGGAAGCAGATAAAGAGAGTCTTTTAAAGCTTACTGAGCTAGCGGACTATCTTCTTCAAAGAGGTAACTTTGGTGTTTACCAAGATACGTATGAAAAGTTGGCTCATAAAGTGAAAACCCTGGAAGAAAAACAAAAAGAGGATGAGGAAGATGATGCCCTGGAGGCCGCTTTTAACGAGGGGGGAGGGGAGCGTGAGGATACAGCAAGCAAAAATGGCAGTGGGAGGGTGGACAATACTGAAACAGAGCCAGCTAGTGACAGTGAAGTTTATTGGCAGTATAAGTGGGAAAATACCAAAGATGCCACTATTTATGGACCTTACAGCTCTACTCATATGATGAAATGGACTGATGAAGGATGTTTTGGTGATGGTGTGTGGGTGAGAAAAGTGGGTGAAGATGATGAAGGTGGACAATTTTATAATTCCAAACGCATAGACTTTGAACTATACACTTGAGACAAAAAATGAGACAGTGCCAATTTGATATAAAGTGCTTTTGATTATAACACACAATTCGATAATGATGACACAACATAGGTGAACCTTTCAAAGTCAACCATACAATATGATATGTACATGCTCATAAAGTGATTTATCTGAAAAAGCGTTTTTGTCAGGTGGTCACTTGCACTTTTCATTTACAAAGCTTAAGTAGCTGAAGCTGTTGCAGGGTATCCGGTTAAACCAGCCTACACAAACATCAGAATTGCTTTTTGGGTTAGGAGAGCAATGTATGTTAAGCAGGATACATAATACTGGTAGTACCTGAAAATCATCTGTAAGGGGATTTCTGGTTGTTGTATGAGATTAGGTCAACCAACTAGTAAAAATTTTAGAAGCTTCAGGAAAATAATGAGCATAATACGAAAAGCACAACTGTGCAAGACAGCTATCCTACAACATGCCCATGTTAGTGAGTATCTATGTGAATAGTGGAAATTGCAGCCATTATTTGTGAGGAATGAGGTCAGAGCGTGGTTTGCTAGGAATTATGTATCTATGTGCTGAAAAGTCTTGTTTTTGGCATTGAAGCTGTGTTGTTACACAGGCTTGTAATAGAGGTGTCAGTGGACAAGCCTCTGAAATACTGTAGCATAGGGCAAAAAAGAGCGAGCAAAAAAAGTGGGGGATTGGGGAAAGTGGCTCTCCCCATTTTCCTCTCATTAAATTCTTTGTTTGCTTTTTCTACCAGTCTTTTTTTTTCACCCACTTTCTGCTAACTGAACCCTCATTGGGGTAACCGAATGTTTCCTAAAACACATTTTCTGTTTGTCAGGATTTCCATGCACACTATAATGGAAAGCCTCCCATAAAATGCAGATATCAATTTTGCTTATCACAACTTTACATCCTCAGCCAAAAGAACGGCCATGCAAGGGGCCAGTTCATCTTCTCTGATAAAATCACCAAAGATGCATTAATGCAAAGGGAGCAAAGTAAAATCTTCAGGAAATAACCAAGCCTATTGATTGGATAAATGAAGGGTTGGTGAAAAAAACAACAACAACACCTAAATGTGGCAAAGATTTCAATAGTTAAATTCAAATGCAAAAATACAAGATCATAGCTTCTGTAATCAGCTGATGGTTCATGGTACAGTGTACCTCAAATTGTAGAACCCAAAAGTGGCCCTGTGAACATTGGTTGTTTTCTCAGGCCACAGACACACAATGCAGTATTGAAACATAAAATCAAAACAGTACAGTTTGCTTTATTGGATCCATGTGATCCCTTGGTTTAATGACTTGTTCATAACACCACCAATTTACCTAACTACTTCTAAATTTACAATACTATTTTACAATGCCACCTCCTCATATACTAAATAAAACCAAAATGTCTTCTTGACTGCTACAAAACATACTTTATCTCATCTTGAAGGTCTCTGTCACTTTTGGGTATACAGTTTACAGGGTCCTTTAAATTAGTGATATCAACAGAACTGACAATGTAGAGTGAAATTTATCTACTTGTACTTGTGACTTTGGAGTCCTATCACTATACAAGTATCTTGGAAAGATCTTTTTCCTTTATGGGTTTCTTAAGGGGATAAAACTTCCAAACTACAATTTGAACAACAGCAACAAACAATGGGATAAAGCATAGAAGAGAAAACATGGCATCTAAAAGCTCTTGTGTTGTTGACCCTAAAAGAAAGAACAAAAGTCAGACCTGTGCAACTACTAATAATAAGAGTGCAATTGATCATTTCGTCATTATATGTCTTGTTGATGCCTAAAAGATTGCTATTTGCATTGTACCTCATTACCTCAGGAGAAGTTTTGGTGTTATAAGTTTTCTGGGTAAGACTAATGAATATGGTATTAAATACCTAATATGAGTTTTGTTATCATGGAAATCTATTTTCAGTAAAAAAAAAAAAATTCCTTTTTGAAATTTTTATGCCTACAAAATGAATGTTTAAGAAATTTTTGTACAGAAATGTACTGTTAGTTTTGTGCTTCTAAGAAGTGAGCTATAAACTCGGACATCTGTTTAAGGTTAAAAATCCTAGTACATACCTGAAAGGCTTTTGTCTTTTTTCATATTTTGACTGTCCTAAAAACAATAGTTACATACTATTAATATTTAAAATACATGTCACGTTTGATATGTTGTGGTTTAAATTTAATTTTCCTTTGTATCAAACTCGTTATCACACATTAAAATATTGTTATTAATACCAAACAAAAAAAGGAGAATAAAAATAACTAAGCATAAAATTATACCACTACATAAATATTTTATCACCACTATAGACCCAAAATAAAAACATGCCTGAGGCTGAGGCATTGGGTTGGTCGACAAAGCCCAGATGCTAGCAAAATGGAATGTTGATCAAATTGATACATCAAAATCCAGTATTACTTGTTACACTCAGCCACCTCATAATATAGGTGCCAGGCAATCAGCAATTTTCTGTTTAAAGATTATACATCTCAACTTGTAACATTATTGGTCATGATAATAATGACTTGCACTATATAACCTGCTTAACTTCAATCAACCTGTTATCACACCTAGTACTTCAGAAACTGTGGGAAATCAGGAGCGAACGCATTCTTATTGCCTCTGTTTCATGATTGCAGTAATGCTCGCTATTTCATATTCTTTAGCTGTAATTATTAACACTTTTTTAAGTGTTGCCTTAAAAAAATTACCTTGTATCCATACCAGGACAGGATGTGAACGACCATCATGGGAGCCAAAGACTGAGCTGGTTTGGTGAACATTGCATTGGTGCCAAATATCATTGATGAAACAGGTGCACTGTAAGTACCAAGACAATGATATTATTTTTTTAATGTGGCGGTAATTTTTCACATAAGTTCCAAGGAAATAACATGTGTTTCAAAAGACTTTCAGTTTTAATGTATAATTTTTGTTTCAGAGTTAAATAGACTATTTTTCCGTAAGATCATTGAGATCGAGCACTTGTGTTATGGATAGTTATCTGAATTTCAAATGTTCCAGGCTGTCTAGCCTGGGGTACATATGAAAAAACAGATGGCCGCCCATTCTGGTAAGCACTAGACCCTGATGCTCCTAGGAAAAAATAGGGGAATGTGGACAGTCTAGAGTTGCTAGACTGAAACAGCAGTAATTTATGATAATCGCGAAACCTATGATGTACATTAAATGCAGCCAGCTTATTGCATGTGTAAAATAATGCATGTATGTCTAGTCAGTTGTACTTCTTTCCCTTCCTTCTGGATCATGACATTACAAAATTTTTTTTATTTAATGTTATACATCCATAAAACAAGTTCAGTGAAGCTTTAGAAATGGAAGGTAAAGGACTTAATAATCAATAATCTTTGAAATTAACAGAGAACAGAAGTGGGTGCCATTATTATATGAAGGAAGTATAACTGTTATTTATAATTTTAAATAATATTATGCCTTTTGCTCACTTTCTTTGATATTTTTCCATGTCTTTATCAATGATGTCAGACACTGATAAATTGAACAAAGAGAATGTTGCATCTGGAAGGGTACTGGAATAAAAACCAACATTGAAACAGCATAGCTAAAAGTTTGTCTCATAAAACATTCTACCATAAACAGTACTGGATTCCCATGAGGTTTTTGTGATATCCGGAATAATCAAGGTCGAGAAAAGTGATACCAGCCAAGCCAAAGGCTGAGGCTTGATGGCCCTTGTTATTTAGGATATCACAAAAACCGAATCTACCGGTAATAATTTTTTTTATATACATTGTTTTGATGAAAATAATGACAAACTCACTGTTGCAAGGAACCGAATTGACAAATGTTCTTGGAAATCATGCACTGTGCGCACAACCTAAAGATTAGTCAGTTATCTGCTAGCAGATAAGTCAATAAGCTGTACTTTTCTCCGATTTCCAAAATTAACTGTAAGCTTTTAGCCAATGAGAACACAGATAATGAGTACAATGTATAATAAGAAATGAAATTGCATGTCAGCATTTGGAGTACAATGAAATAAAATAATGGTAACTTACTTGTCAATAATCAGAAAAAGGTACAGGACCCAAATATTATTTCTTCCAGCTAAAAAGACAATAGCAGGCAAAGATACCTAACAATAACAACAAAAGATAATGTTTTCATCCAGCATGGCAAATTATACAGTGCTAACTTGTCCTATCTACCATAATGTACACAGTTACTGCATGCTGTATGAAAGTTCAGTTGCCAATAACGATGATGATGATGATAATGATAATAATGGTAATAATAATAAGTGATTACTATTAGTATTAATTATTATTCACTGTACTCATTGTTTTTTCTCTCTGATAATTTTGCAAAGTAGCTCTGAGGCTACAGGTTATTCTGTAACCAGTTATCTGCTAGCTAGCTGATAATCGAGAATTACACCTCTTGCAAAGCATTTTCATTTTCAAAGCATTTTTTGTTCTTAGAAAACATAAACTCTGTTCTATAGGACAGTGCATACCATTACTTATTTCATCATTTTTCCATTAAAACAATTATAATTATAACAAAACATTATTAGAATCAGTTTTTGAGATGTCAACTGAAGAATAATCACGGTTTTGGTAGGTGTTACCAGCCTTAAGACCTTAATAAATCAGAGTCGGCTGATAATCAAACTCAAAGTCTTAACATTGATTATTCTACCAGTAAATATCATTAACACCTCATTCAATAACTGTTTATCACTACAAGTTAAGGAATAAGGAGTCATTCCCCATTTTTCAGGATAGTAATTCAATAAAATGACTTTAATATAACAAATAAGACCTGGAATATACAATGTATGTTAAGTCATTTAAAATAAACAAAGTATACTTTATACAGCATACAATGTCCTTGTGATAAATTTGTTATTTATTATTCACAGCATTCCAAGTCTTAATATTAAAAGTAAAAAACACCATTCTGAAGCTAGTATATGTTGTAACTTTAACATCTACATGTATTCCAACTCAGTCTTCAATCTCTTTACCTTAATGTAAAACGACCATAAGATGAGCCTATAAGAACCAAATCTAGCCAACAGTGGACTTGTTAACAAAACAAGCAGCTAAAAAGAAAGACAGAACATGTTTCTAATTAACATTTAATATGACTGAGGTTTAACTGACGGGCACTTTTTGTATTGAATAAGAAAGTGTTGTTTATTTTATCGTTGATTTTTCTTTTAAAATGCTTGTCATTATTATCAAAAATAATAATTACTATCTACTGTTAAACAACTATGATTTCATTCAGATTAATTACTCAAAGATATACGACCAAGTGTGTTTGATTTATTGTAAAAAAAAAGCTTTACAAAGGCACATTGTACATATTGCTCATTATTATTGTACAAGTTTGAAAATGGATGGAATTTTTACATCCAGTGAAAATATTTGTAAAGCAACCGGTTAATTCTGTTGGGTAGAATCAATAAGAATACACAAATTCACTTCACAACATTTAACTATTATAAAAATAATAAATATATTCATATCTTGTTACTAATACCCACCCTAGGAAGCATGAATACAGACCCAGTAAGTATACTATACAGGATCTAAAAATTGAAAGAAATTTTTTGTACATGTCAGCAATTTATTGAATAAATTATACGCATCCATAATATTATGTACATTCAAGTGCAATTAGCTTCTTACTTTTTCGCTAAATTCCATAAGTCATTCTAACAAAGGGGAATTGAAGAATAGGGCCTGGTAAGGCTCAACTCACACATTGAATAAATTATCTTTTGCAGTGGCCTTACTTTAGCAGGAATGTGTCAAAAAAAGGTAACAAAAGTTGCTATACGTTTATTACCAAAAGAAAAAGTGGTCAGCAATTCAGCCACACCCCAAAAGTACAACACAAAGAATGATATTCCTTTCAATTATTAAAACGAGAAACATGCAGGCTAAATGACTTACAGCAGGAATGACGTTAGACCCTATCAGGTGTTCAACAAAAATGAGGAAGAAGTTGCTACAAAAAGTGACATGAAACACCTGAAAAGCAATAATGTAACTTAATAAATTCAATATTCTAACAGCAGAATAATAATATTAAATTAAATACCCACAAGGTAGTGTAGTCAAATACAAATACAGTGGGATGGGTGGATGTAAACTATAATAATGTAAAAAGGACATGTAAACTAAAGACTTTACACTAACTATATTATTGAGCGTAATTATGTTTTATTTTTGGTGAGATATTTCATCATTCTTTCGTAAAAAATGGTGACTTTCCATATTGCAGTACCAACCAAAGTCTGATGTCATCAGAATTTCCAATCACTATGAACAGATTGCAGCATTTCCAAACAATCATGCAAGATGCAGTATTTTGCATTTGGATCAATGTCTGACATAGCATAATATAATATTCCCGTATTTATGTGCCACTTTTTGTGGCTACAGTAGTTATTATGGTTTGGGCATCCCTAAATGTCCTCATTAAACGTACAAGTACCTGGAAAAAATTCATTGCAACAAAGCAAACTGCAACAAAAAGAAAGAAGATGTTAAGGGTCTTTATAATTAAAACTGTTCTCAGTGATACTGATAACCTGCAGCTACTTGAAACTGTAATAACACTGGCCAGTAAAAAAAGGGGGCTCAGGAAGAAAATGTTAAAAAAAGCAGAGAGGAGGGGATCAAAAGTAGAGGGGGCAGCATCATTTTGGAACGTTAACACTACTGTATCTCAAGATTTCACTTCAGCACATACATGCCTTAGACATCCCACATTGTAAGTTAACTTATTATCTAGCATCAGGAACAAAAGCTACAGCATACTATTGCTTTGCATTTAATGTTCAACGACAGCAAGAACAACAAATCTTAACAATATTTTAGGTTATATAACATTGTCATCACCCTAAATGGAGTTTTGGGCATTGTTGGGTGAATTTGCCTCATAGTGACCACAACTGGCTCTAACATTGAATAATGTAATATATTTATTTATTTATACAAGCTTTGCCAAAAGGCCCGGAATACTCACATTCACAAAGTGAGCTCCACTATAAGGACTAAAATGGGTTTACAGGTTTTATTGTGATTTTAACACTAACAAAGTGAAATCATTATTACTAATAAATATGTGTACCAAAACTTCTTTGGGTTAGAATTTGCTTCAGAAGCGTAATCAGAGGTATTGATTCTTTTGATGTCTTTCCATCTGAAACAGAATTAAGTAAAACAATATTAATTATTAAATTTAAATCTAAAATGTGTATAATAGTTCTATTTAACATTCTTGAATATAATTATCCTCAAGTTCCTTAGAATTTTAAGTGATGTCACCAGAAAAATGATTTTCATACACACCAGGATATTCCATTTCCCCAGACATTTATTACTTGGAAGTTGTGAAATCAATATACAAACAATTCGTTATTTTTTAAAATTGGATCTGCAGGGTGTGAATTAAATGTGAAGATCATCACAGTTACAGATTGAACTTCTCTATTAGTGTTAAAAAGAACTTTAAACAGATAACAGACTTCACAAAATTTACTTTGATCGGATGTATTGCCAGAGGTGCATGCTTCCACTGCAACTTGTACGTTCAAACCAGTGTACCTCATCAATAACCAACTTAGGAGTGCTACTATGACACAGACAGCTTGAAATGAATGGAAATTACTCTGCTGTCAACAAGACAAATTAACACCTATTACTTAAAAATCATCAAGATATAAAACAACAGTACTTTTATTTTGAAAGGCTATCATATGGGGCCAGGGACCAGAGACTTTGTCTGGGTATCAGAAATACGAGCCCCATATAGCTACTTTGGTAGAAAAATAATCACAATATCTATAAACAGAACATCTCAAATCTCTGGTCACCTTTTCCCTCTCATGGCCTGTTTAGTTATGGGAAGGGCTTCAGAGTGGTTTGCACTGAAGTTTGGCACAATTATTAATTTACTGTCCTCTGCTAACATCAATATGAAACAGAGTTTAATGGGTCAATTAAATCTACTATTGTTATCATTTATATTTATCCTTAATTTATGAAGTTTGTAATAATAACATTATTCAATTCTTTCCAAGAAAAAAGTGACAAAATTAAACAAACCTCATCTTTATACACACTTGTGCTTACGAAAAGAGCAGTTGAGCCAATAATAGAGGCTACTTGCCTGAAAAAAAACAAACAAACAAACAAAAAAGGTTATATAAATTGTATTAATTATTTAAGTGTATATTTAAATTTCAGTGAAATATTGAGAAATTATCCAAAGATAAAAATTGCCATTTGAATTCAAAAAATGCAAAAAATCATACTTTACTTATCATTTTTAAGATCTAAAATAGGCTAAAACAACAAAAAGAATTTTTCCATGCAAAAGAAATCACAATATTTATTATCACTTATCTACTCATTGAAAACAAACATAGTCAGTTGTTGTTGTTATTGTTATTATTATGATTAATTATTATTCATTCAAGTCAAATTTAATGCTAAATAAATAAGCCGTGACTGTTATTTGTAATTAATAATTTTGATGCAAGAGACACTTCATAAATAAGATTTCAGCAAAAGAAAGTACAGTTCATTTCATATTCTTTTTTTCTTACGAATATTTGAGAGTTGACTGTCTTTCTTCTTGATGTGTAGAAATCTCAGCAAAAAGAGCACACTGGGCAAGTAGTACTACATGAAAAAAAGTACATTTTATTAGGTTGTGTGAGGACTCCAAGTCTTCCACAAAATTGTATTTAATTTCTTTAAATACAGCAACACTGAGTAGTCAACATGGGACAAAGTATTCTCCCAGAAACATCAACTTCTTTTCATGTGAAAGTAGGCAAGTCTTTGGGAAAAATCCCCATCACCTGCCCTGGGTCTGTGATGAATTAAAGGATTCATCAAGATTTGTGTATTTTCACATACAAGTAGAGTTGCCCTCTGATGTCAATAGGCCACTTCCAAGTTCCAAAAACCCCCACTTTTGAAACGAGGCCAAGTGCACGACCTTCCTTGTGAAAGTGAGTTTTATTTGCGCGAGAATGAAAAGTCATTTCCATATCAAAGGCTGAGCACTTAACCTCCTTTTGATACAGAGGCCCGGGGGAACTCGGAAATGGCCTATTTGTAATTGTCTGCTATAAAAAAGCAATATTTTTTCTAAGATGTTCCTCTACAAATGCTTAACACTGTAGTACATATAATGGTCATGACAATAATAATTCTCTTAAAATAGAATTTACATTTATTATATTTATACCAAAAGTGAAGAGTCCATCATAAAAACACAGGGACACCATAAGATGAAGACCAACCACCCAATCACCAGTGAAGCCAAGCCATGTCCAAGGAAACCATGGAGAAAGAAAGCTGTGATCAGTGAAAGAAAATGAGACAGTTTTAGTTTCAAATCTACCAACTTTCAGCAGACTCGTATCTATTCTTAACATTGCATTACTGGACAAGTAGTAAATAAAATAGATAAATAAATAATAATTAAAGGTAGCACATCCACCAAGTGGTTCTTCATCTACCTAATTCCTGAGTCGAACTGGAATTCGGAAATGGTGGTTTTTAAAGAGAGGGGAAAACCTCGCCGAACATGGGAGAGCTGAACCAACAACAAATCAACCCACATATGGTATCCATGCCAGGATTTGAACCTGGGAGATACTGGTGGGAGGCAAGTGATCTCACCACTCTGCTCTTGCTTCCCCGCAAGTGACAAGTGGGACAGAAAGACCATGCTGTAATGGATTGATTGTTATTCACAGCTGCAGACATACATTCATCACACTGTCATAACTGTACTTAACATACATAAGACATGTATCTGGGTCTACTATTTTTATTAGATGTATAGCCAATTACAGAAAAGATCCATGCCCTCCATGGAAGGGTATTGTTCTCTGACGCCAATCCCTGGCCTGTGCAAATGTGAAGTTGCAGAAAATCTTTATACTCACCCATAGAAGGGACTTGAAATTCCTTGGGGAAGAGGGGTCTCCAAGACCAAAAAAATTAAATGAAATGCTTAATACTCATTGGAATTTACAAAGGAGTTTAAAATTTTTGAGGCTTTAAGACATTCTTCCCCTGGTCTTCTGTGGGGGAAGAATGCTGAGTATTTTCTGGAACTGAACAATGAAAGAAAACTTAAATAATTTCTGAGTAATATTTACTGACCTAATTGCAAATAAGGGAGCACCATAAAATATTGCCAGCCTTCTTTTCCGTAAAACTATCCAGGTGGAACTGTCCTTGGGAGGTAATGAACAGTTTCAAAGTAAGCACGTGAACCACATTAGCCTTGCTCCTCTGCTGCAATGATTTATTGCCAATGCAAATACATGTACCCAGAAAAGGTAATCTGCTCTAGAACTGATCATGAATAAGAGACATTTACAACTCAGAATTGTACACTTTGAGTAGCAGACAGTACGTCTCATTTAGCCTTGAGGCTTGCAGGTACATTTGCGTAAAATATTGCCTGTTTGTGTTAGCACATGCATGTAGATGGCTTCAACGTAACTGTGACTTTCAACAATATCTGGAATAACGAACCACTAACAATGATAACAGGGCTGCAAATAACCATCACCAAAAAAAAGGTTGAACTTTTATATTGGGTAAAATACCGGACATAACTACGCTAATGTAAAGAAAACTTCATTACCCAAGTCAATGTTGTTTCATGACTTTGAGATCGTCCTAACACAAAGTAAGATTTACTCAAGGTATATTTTTATTCTTCCTAACCATAAGATAAATAACGATAAGAAAAGTCTCCCGACATAATTTCTGAACACGGGGATTTCGTCAGACACTAGCAAATGTTGGTCAGCTAATGTCCGACTGTTATTTGCAGCCCTGTGATATACCCTAATGAAGCGGATACTTCAATCATGATCCACATGAAGGTAAGGTAAAAAGTAGGGCAAGTACAAGACTTGGACTGGAGCAACTTGTTTACATAACATGTAAACAAGTTGCAAAATAGAGAGTACAAAATGGGTATTACTGTCCAGTAAACTGTTTAGAATTTTAATTAGGTGATCCAATCCAAGTTTTGCATGTGTGTAAAAGTATGTAATGAAATTATAGAAATACCAATATATTGTCACGATACCTGGAAATAACCAAACAATGGGTCATTGATGGCATTCCAAATAAGGAACACAACTTGGGCGATGTTAAACCAATAGTTTGAAATCCTAAAGGCCCAAAATAAAAATACACATCAAATTGGAACCTCACACCCTCCTATAGATAATTTAGGTATAAGTTGATTGTCACCCCCTTAGAAAAAAGATCAGGCTATTTTCAAAGGTGGTGGACAAAACACTGACCCCCAGTCCATGGACTACCCATATGGACAACCCTTAAATGGACTACGCTGCTGAAATTTAGTGATTAGGGTTAGTAGGGAACTGATTAAATCAGGTTCCATTTAGGGTCATCAAACTGGGGAAATGGATCTGAGACTTGATTCAGTCTCCTAACCCTAATCTTTAAACTTCGGTGGCATAGTCCATTTTAGGGTAGTCCATGGACTGGGGGTCGGTGTTTTGTCCACTATCTTCAAAAACAGCCTGTTTTTTTCTTTTCCACAACCCCCCCGCCACCCCCACCCCCACTCAACCACTCAGAAGGCAATATCTCTTATAAATGTCCCATAGAGCAAAGTTGCCGTTTCCTTCTATCTAACTTGTCCCTTGGGTTTGCCGTGGATCGAATTTCTATCACGTTTGGATCACCTCGATTGTCCCTTTACCTGTACACATTCAGGAAAATCTTCACGTAGTAGAAATTGAATATAGAATTCATCATCGTGGCAGCCAAGGTTGTGGCAGAGTATGCTAAAGCATTCTTATCAAGTTCCATGGCTTGCTTGTGGGTCTTCTCCTTTTTTTTAAGATGCATGCCAGGTGGCAAATATATTTAGTCTGAGCTGATTTAACACAGCATCTCTAACTGCCCTTCTCCGCCATTATTTTTCTGACTGCGGGCACGGCGTGGTCAGCGGATGAGTATGAACCACAGGAACCCCAGATTCTAGCCTCACAGGCGCAGGATCGTAGGAGCCTATTTAAAAACGAGAAGACCCTGAGGATGAGGCTGACGTTATTGAAGGCGCTGACTAAAGACATGCGAGAGCATCCACCTGACGTCTACATCAGGAGGACTACTGACACATAACTTACATGTAGCGAATAATGAATTACCATGGAACCACGCCGCAGGTTGTATCCTGATGAAAAAAGAAGTGACCCCCAAGTAATGGTTATGAAATTTACGGAATCTTAAGCCAGTTGTTGTGGAGGATGATAAGAGAGATAGTTTTGTTTCTTTTGTGCTTAAATCAATGAGGCTAGAATGGCACAGGCCTGTCTAGTTTTATAAACTTTTATATTGATTGCCTATTTGAGGTTTAAAGGCTTGTTTATAGTGGAAAGTGCACTTAGCTAGCTTATCCAGCTAGTTTACAGGCACTCCACTCAAATACTTAGAAACAACTAATTCAAATACGACATAAACATACAGAATTAAATGCCCCAAAAGGCAGGAGGCATCCAATTGGTTTTTATTCCTTTCAGTCAGACCAGAGTTGGATACAGATGGTGATCAAAAAGCTCACCTTTCTTTTAATGGGTTTATTGTTAATCGTTTTTTATTTTTTCAAATATATCCATTTCGGGGCAAAAGGGGATAGTTTCTAACAGAACTGTATTGTTGTGTAGGTGGGTGAGTGAAAGACAGAAATTGTTTTATCATCAGTGTAAGTTGACCACCCCATAGATATTCAAAGATATTCAATTTCAGTTGTGCACTTGAAGAGATTACGGCTTAGCAAGGCTCCAGTAGCGGTTATAAGTCAGTATAATATTCTGACTTCGATGTAAGAGTGCATTCGAATCGCTTATTAGACTAGCTTAGACTTCTTGAGCCTGTTACGTTTACAGTGATTTTACTCAATCCTTGAAACAATACATAACATTTAATGCCAAATCTTTTTAAGTAAACTCCTTTGTGAAAAAACCTATCTATTCCTGTCAGAACAATGACTATAACGGCATTGAAGTCAAAATTATTATGGGTGAAAACGACCCCGCAAATCTACGCCTATACGAGGCACTCTACATGAGAAAGTACAAGCCTACCCTCAAATTCCGCGAGGAATGTAGATAATTTGCAGACCTTCTGTTTTACTGTTTTTAGGTCCTGTGTTTAGAGTCTATTTTTCAGAGACTTTTTTAGACACTATTTTTAAGACTCTTTGTCTATATACACTCGGTCTTTTACACATTTTACCACTTGATTACCTCACACCAATTTTGTATATTTATATAGCTTCATGCAAAACATGGATTTTCTCATCCCTGACGATCCCGTTGATCGGCGAAAGCTCGGATTTTTATATGTTTTAAAACGGACAGCACTGTAAAGCCTCATTTGAACATTTTAACTTTTAAATGAATTTAGAGTGTAATACTGCAGTGGAACCCTCGTTAATACGGTCACCAATGTGCCGAAAAAAATTGGCCGTATTAACGAGGGTTTTTTTTACAAGAAAATGTATGGCGGTTTTTGCCACACGGCCAAAACAAAGTGGCCGTAATAACGAGGTGGCCGTAAGGAGAGTTTCACTGTACTTATTTCACCGGTTAACTCAGTAAAATCATGCATTCCAGACTAAAAATGAAACTGCGGTCAAAATGAAATAACCTTACACCTATGACTTATATACCAACATTTTAATCTAACATTTCAAAGGAAACATACCCAAACTGAGGGCTTAAAGCAGCCCTCGTCTGATATTCTCCACCCTCTTTTAACAACAAGACTGAAACACCGAATTTACACACTCTCTGTTTGGTGCCGAAAACTCCCACCCACGTACCAAGATAACTTAAAAACATGGTTGTGGTTGAGTGTTTACCTGGGATTAAACTTACTTGAAAAAATTACCTCAAACAGCTGTCTCACAGTAAGGAATTATTTGGGGAAGATCTTTTACTTAATCCAGCCAGGCCATAAACTTAAAAAGCCTTTGCTGAAACCTGTCGCCATGCTGCACATAGCGGGCGAATTCTTGCATTTTGTTTCATACACTGCAAAGGAAAATGGCCTTACATGTACTTCTGGGTAGTTCTAACTATGATAATAGCAAACATATTAAGTAATACTCAAAGATTTAGGCCGGTTATTTCAACGGAGGTTGGCCAGTGTTGAAAAAAATTCCGAGTTGCGCCTTCAGTCACTTTCAGTTTTCCCAACCCTTTTAACCAGGCATCGTTTATAATGAACAGTATATAGTTTAGACTAGAAAAGCTTTTATCGTCTTGAAACAGCCTGATTAGAACGAGATCCCATGGTTTTGCTTAAGCTTAAGTCGCGGCATAAATTAGACTTCGGCTAAATAAACGGTGTTTAGGCTTCTAATGAAAAACAAACAATTTTGATTATCAAACCATTTGCGTTTTAGCAGAACACGTGAAGAGGTTGTGCGAGACGTGTATTTTTAGAGGTACATGTAAATAGTTGTTTTACTAACCAATGGGCGGTGGTAACGCAGTCACGTGGCACGTGCCGTTTTTTGGAAGAGGATACCACGATATTAGATTCCTTTTTTTAATTTCAAAACAACCACTTAAACACTCAGCAAGGTAAATTTCGTTCATGTCAAAAGCTAGATACTTTTCATTTCTACGTGACTCAGCTGCAAGTTGTTAAACTGCATTAGTAAATCGAAGTAAATTTAGAGAAATCGTGTGGCGCTGTTTCACTTATGTATCCACGTCCATGCAGGACTGAGAGCGGTATTAAAAGCCCAAATACAAAGTAATTCCTTAGTAAAGAAGATCCAGGATAAAAACAATAGAAAGAAAAATCATTCCGTGTCAGTAAGCGACCAACATATTAACTGATAACACCCTAATTAAATAAAGGTTATGAGGGAAAAAGCACGGGCATTGAAGGTGCGAGTGGAATTCTGGGCAAAAACAGAACAAGGCAAAACGAAAATATTTTGATATTTTTATTTTTTTTAATTTCTCCTTCAATCAAGGGTACATATAAAGAAAACAACAGTAAAATAATTACATTCAGTCAGGTATATTTAAGGGCGACCATACGTACTATCCATGTTTTGATCAAAGATAAGGAAGCGAGGATGGTACTGACTTGATTTTCAAGTGTCACCTGCGGGAGGCGCTGTTGGAAAATATCTCAGTAAGATATCAATTATATCGAGCCTTGAAGTGCTTTAACCGAAGACGTTTGACCTCACCCTTAAACTGAAGGTGTCATGTGTACCACCTCCAAAGACCGAGTGTTAGAGAACGAAACTGAAGGTAACAAAATTTAGGGTTTGAAGATTTTTAAATTCGCTTAGTAGTTTAAATGATCATTTTTTGCCACCCTTCTTTATCGTAGACAGAAATATACTATGAGAAGTGTTATTTCGCAAAAAGGAGCAAGCACTGTAGAAGGCTATTCTATTCTAAATTTCAGAGCCATTATTACGACATAGAGACGCGAAAGAAAGAAAAGAGGAAAGAAAATTTGAACGCCAAGCTGGTGCCACTGCTTTGTCTGAAACGAGCACTCAACTTATTTTTCACAATTCATTTCAATTTGACTTTTTTATTTGAGGAAAAACCTTCCAAACATAATATTTAAAAAATTTATTGGAATAACGTAAAAGTTGCCCCAAAATATTATGAATTCTATTTTGAAAACAAACGTAAATATATTCTTGAGCAGAATGGCGAGTCTTGTATCCAAACTCAGTGACACTGACTGATGTTCCCCAGCTGTCTTACCTGGTGGGGTAGTTAACATATGACACAGGTTAAAATTCATGGCGTTTAAGTTTCAGCTTTAACTTCTCAACTTTAACTTGCCTGGAAGAGGTTAAATGAATTTTTCATTTCTCAAAAAAGTCTAAAAGTCGATAAGATTTTGGACTCTGTCCCCAAATCATGCGTGTATCATGCCTACTTCTATTTACGTCACCAGTGCTTCGTCACAATAAGTCAGGTTGTACCTAGTTATCCTACCGAAAATTGTTTTCACCCGAAGTAGTTCTCTGGTGTTAAATGCTATCGATCTCTATGCTTTTGTTTTAAAGAATAACGTGTCTGTTTCTGTAAATGTTTTGGTGGCCTGATAAAAGGCATGACTAGGGAACTTTCGAGATGGCGTAGAGAAGGCTTAAGTTGACAGGGAAAAAATGAGGAAATGATTATTTGTTATCACAGGTCGTCTTATCATGTACATGAAAACAAAAATCAGCTAAACGTACGACTTTTTTCGGTAGAGTTGCACTCACTGGTCATTTCAGAAAATGAAGTGGCGAGTTTTCCAAAGCAATGTAACCACTGATTACACAATTGATTTGAATTGATGAACAACCTGACAACTAGGCAAAGAACTGAAAAAAAAAAAAGTAGATCTAGGCCGAATCGATAAGATTTGCAAATTATGAAGCAAAACTTATATATAGGTGTGAAATCAATTTGGCTATTCTTAATCTACTAGGGTACTGACAGTTGGAAAACATGATGGCCTTGCTAACTAGTTCACCCTTTCTAGAATTCATTTTTGCAGAGAATACTCCTATAAGGACACGCAAAATGTTTTCAGAATCGGTAAATTTTCTATTTTGAAATGACAAATTTCCGCTTGTTTTCAACCTTTGGTTTTATTTTTTATCACTGATGTTTTTATTTAAAGTCGATACGGATCAACAGCTGTTTAACATGCATTAATGGAAAGCGAAAAAAACAACTTTTTTCATGATAAAGAAAAACAACTGAATTGTATAAGTAAAGATCTCCTATGTGGTATCAAACTTAATTCGATTTTTTTGAAAAAAAAGAAACGTCTACTATTGGATGATCTGAATGTGTAAGTATCCTTTATTTCCTTGCGCATAAATTTCCTTTTTGGAATCATGGGCATCTAAAATGTTGGGGTATTAAATTTTAAAGTAGCACTTAAGAAACGAAATGTGTCAGTCGGTCTTTAGTGGCGTGATTATGCAGTCACTATTCATGTCTAAGAAGGAGGAACGGGATGCAGATGGCAATTTGTTTACAAGTGTAACAAATCTACTTACTGTAACAGGCGTCAAACAATTTCGCCTCTTGTGGTGCGGGTTATCAATGTCATTTTATTTACTTTTTGCTTTTTTTTTTCATTTTTTTTAAAAGAAACTTTTAATAATAAAAATGCGCGTACTTTTTTCTGCTATAAATATTGATAAGCAGCTAAATATAAACCTTGCGGCACAGTATTATATTTTTTCCTAAAAAGAAGACAACTAAACTAAGTGTATGGATGGAAAGGATAAAGAACGCGGCTATTAAAGAATGGAACTAAAAAGCCTGTTTTGTTCTCAATCTATTTCTATTCTGGCCATCTGCACCAAAAAAAAAAACTTTCAGCGATGCTGTAGTCACTGGTTAATATTAAAAAGCAAATGGGGAAAAAAACTAGATTATTATCCTTGGGTTTTCTTTACCACAGAAGATCAATCTTAAAAAAATATCGGTTGCCCTGGGTTACTTGGACTTCCATGACGCAGTTTATATGGTATAACAATCGTTGTGCCCCCATCACAAAGTACAGTCTGGGGTTTAACCCCAAAATTAATTAATAATTACAGGAGCCCAAGACCCGGAGCAGTTACCATCATCCTCGTCCAATCAGAAACGAGAAATTTTTTTATGACTAATGTTTAAAGTTTTTTCATGTTTGTGTAAATGGTACATATAATATTTTCCTGTAATCTTTTCAACTTGCATTACTGGTAGAACAAGCTCTTCAGAATCTCCTGTCTTTAGCGATTTTAAGGCAAGTTGTTTTTGTCTGTTACCAAATCAATCAATTCCAGCTCTAAATGAAATAATATGTGCATAATCCAAATGATGTAAAGATCGCAGTTAGTACTTGGCACTCACTTTTCGCCGCCAACAACTGCAGCCACTAACATTCCTCTCTTTTAAATACAACAACCACAGATCTCAGATTCCTGAGCTACAAATTAACGGTAACATCGTAACGCCACAGCTGTGAAGAAAAGGCAACATGTCAGCCTCAACTGACGTGGCACAGAGCACATATACCTTTAACTGGGACAATGTTTGGCACCTGGCATACGCAGTGATAATGATTGCCATTCTCTCCATTGGTTTCCTTGGTAACGCCCTAACAGTGATCATCTTACGGAGGCACGAACATGCCAGTAAATCACTGACACCACTGATGTTAAACCTCTCCATTGGCAGCTTGATTATCATCATTCTTGGGTATCCTGTGATTATAAGCCTTCTCTTGAGTGGGGGTCAAATAAGAAAGGAGAACGCTACATGTATATGGAGCGCTTTTGTCAACGGGACAGTCGGTAAGTTTGGGACTTACTTCATTAAAACAAAATGCAATTTAGTTAACAAAGTACAAGAGAAACGATTCAGATTGGCCTACATTTCTGAGATGGCAAGCAAGATGAGGCCACATCTTATAATCTAACTCCTTAAAGTAGTGTTAGATGGCTGGCTTCGACGCGCGTTTAATAGAGAAGCTTCACACTTGACATCCATCACTGCTCCACCAGAAAGAATGTTAGTGAAACTTTGTCTAACCAGCTGGTATTCGTATTTTTCATCGTATTTTGCACTGACCCGTGATAAACCCTCTTAAAACAACTTGAATTTGCCGGATGTTAAAAGATTTATGGTAAAAATCACTGAAACTCTTTTCAATTTAATTTTACTGTGTTGAAATAAATTCAGAAGGTAGTTAAACTGTTGTGAATCTAAGGGTTTTCCAAACGTGTTTTAGTTACACGTAACTGCGTGCATGTAGTCCTGAGAGTTAAATTTGCAGGAATGAGGGTCCGACCGAAGGTCCTTTGATTCGATTCTTATACTAAGAATCAACTTACGTAGACTCCCAGGGACTCCTAGGTACGTGTAGGAGAGAAATCTGGGAACAAAGTTTAACATCCCTTTTTATACGAACCTGCACCTACAAATTGAACCCATTGTAACTGTGATCTCTTTTCCACAGGAATTTCGGGAATCGCGACCCTGACTGAAATGAGTGTCGTTATCAACTACAGCTTGCAGCGTCTCAATCCTAACTTTCGATTCTCGAAGAGAACACTGGGATTCCTTATTGCTGGTACATGGATCTATGGTATAGTATCCATGCTTCCTCCTCTTTTCGGATGGAACCGATTCGCACCAGGTGGGGCTCAGATAAGCTGTGGCCCTGATTGGACAGATAGAACAGCTTCTGGGATGTCGTACAGTCTGATACTGGTGGTACTGGGGTTTTTCCTGCCTCTGTTGGTTATGTGTTCGGCTTATTACAAAATATACAGGTATAAGTAGCTTGAAATATAGTTTCAACCTATGAACTCGACATAGACGCATAAAATTACGGTCAATCGTCCTTTTGCGGAAACCTCTGCAATGCAAAAAACCATCTCTCTTATGACGGTTCGATTCACAGTTCAAACCTGAGACTGCCCCTTCAATTACATTAGTATCAGTAGCTGGCAGAGGTATTTTGCAGAAGGTCGAATGACTCTGACTTATAGTTATTTAGGGTTAAGAAACTGAGTGAATTAAGAACGTTTCAGGTCTGTCTTTTCAGTTTAATGACCCCAAATGGAACCTGATTCATTCAGTTTCACTTAGCCTGCGCCACAGACGAAACTAAACTCTGGCTAAGTCCGTCTGCGAAACAGCGCCGAAATCCATAATCCATGTTATAAACCCCAAATGAGTACCAGGATTTGAGTACGCGGCATGATTGGATTGTTACAAAAGCCATTGTCGATTTGCCAATCAGGTTGAAAGGAAATTCGAAATGCATTTCCGGTACGAGGATTTCAGCGCTCCTGTTCAGACGTTACTGACCGGGGTTAAATTACGTCTGCGACGCAGTCTAGTTTCACTGAACTCAAAGTCATTCGCGGCTTTCGGCAAAATACCCCTGCCGATCAGTGGATCTAAGACGTAGTAACATGTAGCAATTCTTAACTTTCAGGCTCCTTCGTAACCGAGAGCTTTTTATTGGTGAATGTCGCCACTTCCAAGTGCGCCAAAAACTTTACATGACCAAGCTAGTACGCATGACAGTGATAGCCATCGCAGTTTTCATGCTGAGCTGGGCGCCATATTGCTTGGTCAGCATCGTGGCCGTCTTCAAAGGTAGCCATGTATTCACCAACGGCGAAGCAGAGATCCCAGCGCTTATGGCAAAGGCCTCAGTGATTTACAACCCTATTGTTTATATTGTGACGAATGGAAGTTTTCGTGCAAGTTTTTGGAAAGTTATTTCATGCGAGAGACGGAACTTTGTGTTACACATCAACAGAAATGTCGCAGTGGTCAAAGGAAGTTCGAGGAGATTCCATTCAAGACGCATGGCGATCTTTTTTAAACCGCTGAATGAAGTCAACGTATTCACTGGTGCGTATATAGTGGGTCTCTCTCACCGCTGATAACAAGAAAATTTAGTGCAAAACAAGAACAACACTCATCGCAGTGGGCCTCCCAAACTGATTACGACAACAAAATCAAGGGTAGAATAAAAAACTTCTATAGAGGCCATATAAACGACAAATGAGGAAGCAGGAACATTAAATAGAACAAGAGAAATTAGTAAAATACCACGTTGACAAAAAGGACAGTTCTGCTTCCCAGTGAGATTGCCCTTCCACCCTCCCCCCCTCCCCGTGGTGGTCCTTTTTTGTTTATTTATTTCGTCTCTGTAGTTAGGCTCAATTACCAACCGCTGTGCGGGAGATGAGCCCTCGCTCCTCCCCCGCGCGCCTATACTATGTAGTTATAACCCGTATCTTACACGCTGCATACCCTCTTTTTACATGTAAACCCATAGATGTTCGGCACTCTTCGTAAACAAGTCAACTTGAAGCAAGATTTTACCCACCTGTGAAATGGAAAAATCGGGTAGTTTCTTGAGGTTGCCAATAATACGATCACTCAATAACGTTCTGTAACACAAGTTTGAACTAAACAATACCCACACCACAACACAATACCTCAGTCAACAGTAACAAGAGACACTTAGAATTAAGTCGTTTCAAAAAACCTATTTAAGTTCCTCTCTAATAAACACGATACAGCAACTGATACAGCGACAAACTGAAAAACTTCTCAATTGTTTATTGGATCAATATATAGTGACTCGATACATCAAGAGGCTTCAGACGAATGACAAGTCATTTAAAAAAAACTGATATAATTATTTTGACCCACTTTTAAAACTAAGACACTGAAGGAAAACACGAGATTGTTGTCTCATCGAGTTGTGATCAGTCAGAGGGCCTTGCCAAGCCAGACTACGAGTGGCTTTTGACGGCACGTTTCGTTAAACAAAGATGATTAATGACGCTGCTACGAACAGTGTATATGACTGGTTCTAATTTTTGCAGATAGCAAATCCAAAATGGTATTTCGTGTAGTAGGTTCACAAAAGACTCATGAAAACCTAGGGTGTTGGATGCTTATGGCGGGAGGTAGAGGTTATACAAGCTGCTCTCATATTAGCACTACATGGGATTTAGTGTACTACTAGTTGAGGGAGAGCCTGTAGCCTACGGAAGATGCCCCCTCTTATTGCTCTCCAACGTTCAGACTTTTCGAGAGAGAAAAGTTTCCAACAACGAAGAGTGATAAGAGGCGAATGTGTTCACAGGTTAGACTACCTGAGCCAGAAAAGAACAAAGGGAAGAATTTCTTTACATATTTAGCTTCGCCGGATTTCAGAACAGTTTTCGATCCTCCCGAAACAAAGTTCGAGGAGACTGAGCGCTGGTATATGTTAGCTTAGTTTCCAAGCCGGGGGCGGATCCAGGATTTTTTTTAGGAGGGGGTGCACTCGTCTCTTGCTCTACTTCAACACCAATAAACCACACAGTTTTTTTGTTGCAGAATACCAGTTGTATTAGAAAACCGCAGGTCATCCCAGCAGGGGTGCGCACCCCCTGCACCCTCCCCCTAGATCCGCCCCAGCAAGCTATGCTTGGTAATCCTTCCACTTTCAAGAGAGGTCAGAAAAAGATATAAAAAAGTAAAAGTGACTAATTTATTTTAAACTCATATCAACTCAGTATTGTTCAAACTTTTACCGAATAACTTCACGAGGACGGCATTTAAAGGATAATGTGCTGCCGAAATCCGATAGTGCCCGCAGGCGCACAAACGTCCCTCGCTATGAGAGTGACGCTGTCATCGCAGGCTGAATATTATGCTATTATAATCACATTAATTTTTTAGCTTATAAATATAAGGTTTATATAACGCGTTTTCAATTGAACAGACAAATGCGCATATTTACGACTTAAACTTTTAAAAACAGTAACTTATTATCCGTGAAGGTGAAAAGAATATTGAAAATAACTGATATCAGATAATCACAAATGATACACTCGACAGGACATTATACAAAACTTTCTAATAAAAACAACAGCCCCGCGAACAGAGGCTGCTCTGCCTTAGTCTTCCAGGAAGACGTTAAGAACGTTTCCGCGGAAGACTAGGTTTTAATTTCTTGTGCCCAGTGAGGTAAAAACAAAACCTCTCGTGTGCATAAGAGGATTCTGTGGTAATAGCAAACTGACCTCATCATGCAATTGGCCTATTAGGGTAACAGCAATTAAAATCTTCGGGAACTTGCGCTTATCCTTAGGGTGAATTTCCATTGTCGCATAATTTTTACATTCGTACGGGCGTATAGTAAAATTTATCTACGAAAACCAAGGAGCAATAATGTATGAAAGGTTGCACGTAAACGCAAAAGTTTAGAGAAGTTCAACTTTTGCTTTGCCTCTGTTATATTTAGGCGCGTAAAATTTACCTGCGTACGCAAGTTAAAATTAAGTAACAGTGAAAGTCCACCCTAAGGGCTGCTGGTATTTTGGTTTCAGATGTGCCGAGTCTAGCCTGGGGATGAGCAAAATAACCATTAATTATAATGTATGAGTGATTTCGTCTGACACCCAGCCCTGAAATGAAAAATAGAAGACGTCATTAAAGGAACACGAAATTTTATAGTTGCCTAGGACAATTTGTTATTTATTTTCTGTCTGATTCACTTTTTAACAGCAATTACTTTAGGATGGGAGCCTTGGTTCCACCACCATTGCTTTAACGTAACGGTGATATCTCTGTATAATATGAATAATCATTCACATGTAAATTCATGCTAGTCTTGGGACATCTTAAGACTCAAGGGCAAATAGTTTCATCGGAAAAGACCAGCTAGGGGAAATCTCTCTTTCTGGTTTACCGATTATGAAGAGGACCCATCATAGTGGCGGGTTTATAACATACACTGCTTCTTGATAAGTTAAGTAGCAAGATCGAAACTTCCATTATTCAGCTGTTTCAACGTTCCTTTGCAAAATGTTTGACTTTATCGGCTGGTCAATGTAAATGTAGATGCAAACTTCGTTAAACTAGGCCGACCAGGGTGGCGTGAACTGAAAACAACCTCTGGTCTATAACTTGACCTATTATATTTGCTGAAGAATTTGACCTTTTTACAACATAAACGCGATAGCGTCATTCGAAAACGTTTATTCAAGACAGTGTACACAAAGGGGTTATAAATGACTGATGCTTTGGCCATCAGTGCAGGGATTTCTGCTTCTCCAGGAGAAAGAAGATTGTTCCCTCTAAAAATGCTGATTACACTGACAAAACAATATGGCGACCAGCTGAGTATGAAGGCAGCTAATGCTGTTGCCGTCAGACGCAAAAGGTTCAATTGCCATCGTCTTCGCCTCAGTTTGATACGGTCATTATCCTTAACGATGTCTTGTCGAAGAAGCCTGGTTAGAAAACAAAACAAGAAAACGAAGTGGATCTAGATCTTGAGTTTAGTTTATCTCTCTTATGATCAGGAGTGGTATGGTACAAAGAGATAGTAAGAGAAAAATTTGACTTTTAGCTAATATTGAGGAACATTTAACCAGGAGAGGCGGTAAAAAAAGCCACCTCTAGCCACACCCGTCCGACAAGAGGCAATACGGTCTACGAACATTATAGGACCTTACAAAGCCACGACGGCGAAGGCAACGAGAACGTCAACAGGATTAATAAGCAAACCAAAAACTTTGCACGAGCATCACGATTTTCTGTCAACTTCTTTGTAACCTCCTGCGCAACTACGACTAAGTGAAATGACCAAAGTTTAAGTTCCCTTACGAACGTGAATGGCAAGGCAATAAATTTTGCTTTATCAGCCGAGGTCGAAATGTGCAAGCTGGGCTTTGACTGTGAAAATCCATATTCGCTCTGTGAAAGCCCTCAAAGCGTCCTCTTCTTAAATTGCGGTTGAAATTTATGTTTCACTTAGCCAATGACAGAAAAATTACTGATGTTTATCGCTTTTAGGTAGCAATAATCCCCTAGGTAAAGCTTTTAAAGGAGAATACAAAACTACAAAACTTTACTTACCTAAAAATCTTAAAGCAAGAAACGGAAATAGCTAAGATAGGCAAGACAAATCCAGCAGTTATAAGAAATATACTGTATGCCATGCCAGCTGGAGTAACATCGGTCCAATCAGGGGCGCAGCTTATCTTAGAAGCACCTGGCACAAAACGGTTCCAGCCAAACAGGGGAGGCGACATCGATCCCACGCCATAAAGCCAAGAAGCTCCAATAAGACGGAAGATGGTCTTCCGGGAGAGTTTAAATCTCGGATTCATTTGGTGCATACTGTAACTTAAGACCAGGCTCATTTCAGTGAAAGTGACAATAGACGCTATCCCTACGGCACCATTCACAAATCCATACCAGTTGCACCGGCCTGTACCCGCTTGAATGTCCCCACCTGTTAAGATGTCGCCCATCAGGGTCGGATATCCAAACACGGTGACGAATAGATCGCCCACTGCGAGGTTTAACATGAGAGGTGTCAGGGTCTCCCTCAGATTCGAAGGTTTACAAAGGACAATTATTATCAACAGGTTACCAAGGCAGCCAAGCGTGAGGATCATAATCATGATTGTGGCGTAAGCGATGAAGTCTGCTTCCTGCCAATCAAATGAAGGACTAGAGAGATTGAATGAAGTTCCAAAGTTACTAGACGTTTGGCCTTTTATATCCTCTGAAATGTTCATAGCGTAGTTCGAGTTGAGTTGCGTTGAAAATTGCTGCTGAAACCAGTCGATTGATGTTCGCCTTATGGAGTAAACAGTTTCTTCAAAGCAAAGAACATTGTATAAGTTGTTGTGCAAGTTACACCCATTACATGTGCAAGAGAATGCTAAAAAGTAGGAAAAAAACGATCGTTACTTTAATGATCGATAAAAAACATATAATGAAAAGATGACTCCATGAGGACCTGCATACGACTTTCTTTTGCAAACCACATGACGCCGGCGTTGTTAAGGACGCTAGGTTTTGAGTGACAAGCAATAAACCTCCTACTGCGAAAAGCAATTAGTTTCTTCACCGTTTGATCCAACCATCAGTGGTCAGTTATTCGATAAAGCGTTACATTTTTTAACAAGATTAAGGTAATTAGAGAAGAGATTACAGTTTAACATATGCCTGAGATTTGCGTTCTCAGCTCAGCATACTACTCATCGTAAAGGAAAGGAAGATGCCAAAGCAAATTGCAATCATTGATCTCCGAGGCTTTGTGTGTGCAGATTCAACCATATTTTTTGGCCTGAACTTGCTAAACTGCAGTTTCACAGTGAATCGCTTCACGCACGCGCTGGTGCGTAAAGTGCTTGTACTTTTATGGCCTCTCTCTGATGGAATCTTGTACATTCAACGAACTATAGTTAAAAATTTAACCAAAAAAATGGAAATAATAATTGACTTCTTCTTTATGTGGAAGAAGTGTGACATTATGGTTTGAACTCTGATCGAAAAAAAGTCAACATTGCATTCTGGGTAAATTTAGATGACATTAGGAGAAAAGGACGGTCTTCCTATGCCTTGAAAATGTTTCTGAGCCTAACTATATTACGATAAACGTATAAGTGGTAATATTCATCGGCAGTGTGGTAGGCATTTTGATGTAGAAAACGTTAGATCTTCTAATCCGACTGCATTTGTTTGGTGACTATTATGCATGATCTGTAAAGCGTGTGCAAACGGGCTACATAAAAAAAATTTCCGTTATTTAATGACGGGTCTGCGGAAATACTATTGTTAGTAGTAACTCGGCCTAAATTCCTAAAGATGTCATAGTAAAGGCAGAAAACACAAAGACCAAGCGATCAAATGGATTCGGTCGAATAGCGAAATCGTCATCCCGCCAAAACGTGTCCAAAGCCCGCCAAAAATTACCAAATCTCGCCGCTGCCGCTATTTAACTCGTTATCCAGTCAAGAAAAAGCTATGTATTGCAGGAAAATGAAATCACTTGCGCACAGAAGGAAATTAATGGTTAATATGTCTGATGTGTTTTAGCTCGAGTGCGAGTGTTATTGTAATGCATGGTGATCTAAACTCCTAAGTGCAATTTTTAAAGCAACAGAAACACTA